CCTGTATGGTCAGCATTTTACCGTGCGATCTGATCATTCGGCTTTACAGTACGCTCTGCGGGTTGACCAACCGTCCGGGCAGCTTTCTCGGTGGCTCGAAGTCCTTCAGGACTACGATTTCAATGTCACTTACCGTAGGGGTGCACAACACACGAATGCCGATGCGTTGTCTCGCCTTCCGCCGGCTCAAAAATGTGCGTGTTTTTTCGGCTCGGGCCGTTGTAAGCCGCCACTGCCTGCGCAGGTCGCGCCTCTCACAACGGTGTCAGCCGCACTTCCCGCCGCCTCAGCGCCGATGTTGGATCATGCAGATCCAATGGCCAGTGACGATTTGCTGGGACTAACTTTGGCCGAATGGGGTCGGCACCAGGGCGAGGACATGTCATTATTGAGGTTGCGTCGCCACGCGAATAATGCGGTTCCAAGACAGGGCAAATTTAATTCATTTGTCATGAAGCGTGGCTTGTTGATGCATTGGGATGCTGACTCGTGTCAACATAAAATCGTCGTGCCATCCGCCTTGCGATGCAAGGCCGTATGGGCGGCGCATGAGCGTTTATTGCACCTGGGTGTTCATAAGACCATTGGGTTGTTGCGGTTGCAATTTTTCTGGCCGGGCATGCTGCGCGACGTCACTGACATTTTGCTGGGATGCACCCATTGTGCGCAACGTAAACCGCCGGCTAAACCGGCATGTCCACCCCTGCAACCCATTTCGGTCTCTCGTATAAATGAGTTGGTGGCTCTCGATATTTTGGGCCCTTTTCCTACTACGCCACGGGGTAATAAGTACCTTCTGGTTGGGGTAGAGTATTTTACACGGTGGCCTATGGCCTGGGCCCTCCCCAACCAGTCGGTGGCGGCCGTTGTGGACGCCTTTGTTCAAGGCTACGTCCTGGACAAGGGCGCACCAGAACGGTTGCTGACCGATCAGGGAAGAAATTTTTCAGGAGCCTTGCTGACTGATGTGTGCCGCCTGTTGGGCACTAAGAAAGTGCGCACTTCGCCCTACCATCCCCAGACCGACGGCATGGTGGAGCGCCTTCATAGAACTCTCACCGCTATGTTATGCCATCAGGTCGATGAATCCCACCTCGATTGGGACTTGCAGGTTCCGGGGGTCCTCGCCGCATACCGTATGGCACCTCACGCGGCGACGGGATTTTCCCCGTTCTTTCTAATGTACGGCAGGGATGCCTTTCCTCCCGCCGACGTTCGGCTGGACATCAAACAGCCACCGCAAAAGTCAAAGCTCGTTGACCACTTGCGATTCAACCTCCGTAAGTTGGCCGAGGCACGGGAGGCCGCCATTGAAAATTCGGCTTCCCGCCAAAGGGCGAATTTGCGACTGTGGGACCCTCGGTCGTACACGCATCGGTGGGCACCGGGAGACAGGGCATGGCTCCACTGCCCCCAAGTGCCAGTGTCCACGTCGGCCAAACTCCTCAGACCATGGCGAGGCCCGGTTGAGGTAGTGGAAGTCCTGCGTCCCCAATGTGTTAAAATTAGCTGGGGACGGCGTCGCTGGTGCGTTCACCCCTCTCGGTTAAAACCCTTCGTCACGCCACGCGTCCCTCCACAACACACACGACATGGGGGCCGAGTGTGCGACGCGTCCGACGAGCCGGATGTTGCCCCGTTGGTGCCTAACCCGCAGCGCAGGCGTGTCATTCCTCCTGCAGATGACGCGGGAGTGACGGCTCCATGCAGGCCACGTTCGGCCTCAATGGACCGTGGAGCAGCAGGTGTCCCCGTGGAGATGCATAAAGGCCCACCGGATGCTCTGGCTCATCCTCCTCCTTCCCTTGTGCCGCCGACAAAGCCTGCCATCCCCTACGATGGTCCCGCGAAACGCACGCGCGCGAAATCTCGCCGGTTGTTATAATGTTTTTTTGGCATGTCTAGTGCCTTGTACATACGTTATGTTGTTAAGGGGGGTATTTATAGGGGTTTAATTGTTCTTGTTGTTCGTGAGGCACACTCACAATTCTTCTACCGTTGGTAATTTCGGAGTTTCCCATTGTTGCAGCCGGGACGGCTGGAGCTTCCGAAGGAGGGGGTGATGTAGAGGTGTTAACTACGCGCTGTTGCGTAACCCGCGTTGCCACCAGGGCGGTGCAGCATTACCCCTGGGTACAACGGTTGGGGTCAGTCGAGGTGAAACGGATCGTGGCCAGGGTTTGGTGCGAACCAATCAGACGGTTCCACGTGGGAATGTATGATTGGTTCTACCTGGCCACGAAGGGGTATAAGACGGGTTGGGTGACCCAACGGACCTCGAGGAGTTCTCTCCCTGCACGAAGATAGAAGACTGGGCTGAAGCCTAGCTAGGACCCTGGACCAGCCTTTCAGCCCTTCTAAGGGCTAAGGCTCGGCATACCCAGTGGTCAGGACCCACCAGGCCAGCGGTGGGTCAGATAGCCTCCCCTAGGTCCTAGCCGGAGGACTAGGATAGCGGTAGACGTGTGAGTCCCGCCAAGTCCGGAGGTTGTACCTCCTTAGGTATCAAGGAGGTTAGCGGTAGACGTGTGAGTCCCGCCAGGTCCGGAGGCTGTACCTCCCTAGGGTATCAGGTGAGGGGACCGAATATCCCTCTGTGTGTGTTAAGCGTTGTATAAGGAAATAATACAATAAACAGAGTGTGCCTCCATAAGAAGTCTGCTCGTCCTTACAACACTACACATGTAAGGTCTAATAAATCTGAAAATCTAAATAGGCTCGAGGCTGGATGGTGCTTCTACCCAAGACTAACATGTATAACAACAGTTGTTGTAGCCTGCGGAGCTGCGTTATGGCAATGGAACAACATTCATCTCTATGCTCTACACCAACCCACACTGACAAGATTGGTGATGTCTGGTCAAATAACCCCCAAGACCTGCATGGTGTGGGAGTGCCTTATCCAGCAGTAGACTGACCAAAGGCTGTACTTGTACATGTGTAGGAGTGTGTGAGTTTATATGTACACTATGTGTACGTTTGTGTGTGTACATGTCTGTGTGTATATACGAGTGTCTTTGATTGTGTATTTATATGCGTTTAGGGGAATGGTGGGAAAGTCGTTGGCACATTACATTACAAACGAAGTGACCTGGGTTCAATATCCGTAAACAGCATCAGTGGTGAGTGATGAAAAAAATTCTGGTCCTGGAACTCCCGTAGGGTGACTCTGCCTTAAATGAGTACCTGGTATGGTGTGTCAACATCAGCAATGGGGAGAGAATGACAGCCAAGGACGGTGCTGGTCAGGGAAGTGCGATCAGCACTTGCCTCAAAAGTGTATGCAGGCTCCACGGGGAGATTGTCTTTGTGCTCTAAAGTGCAGTGTAATAGTGTGTGCTTGTTCCCTGTCACTGGCTTCACTTTCCCCACCAGTTTATATGGGCTACTTGGGGGATCATTGTCTCTTTAATGCTTTACAACTAAGATTAACACCCATTACCAATTAGCTGTCTCTGTAGTGGTGAGCACAATCACTGACCATGATCCACTGTGAACCAGGGGCTTGAATCGGACACGTGGATCAAACCGTTACCCTCACTCTCCACCGCAGTCGCAATCAGGGCTACATTTTCTCAGTATGGCCTAAGGTCACCTCACTCCCTGCATATAGTGTGAGGGCTATCATTATCGCTAATTAAATGTTGCTGAAGATGATGGAAAACTTTACAGCATCCATGAATATGCATAACTTTTTTTTCCTTTTGTACTTTAACGTACAGTGAGTGCAGCATTCACTGTGGACCCACCTACTCACTGTACATTTACTTACCCACTCACACTAATTCACTCATTCACCAACCCACTCACACACTAATTCACTCATTCACCAACCCACTTACACGCCACTCACATCCTCACTTAACTCCACATATTCACTCATCGATCCACCCACCAAGTCACCCACCAACTCAAGCAGGCACGCACTCACTCACCGAACCTCATCCCTCAGTGGATGAGTGGGAGTGGGTATGCGGCTGGAGAGTGAAGGTATCGTGGCCAGGGTTTGGTGCGAACCAATCAGACGGTTCCACGTGGGAATGTATGATTGGTTCTACCTGGCCACGAAGGGGTATAAGACGGGTGACCCAACGGACCTCGTGGAGTTCGCTCCCTGCACGAAGACAGAAGACTGGGCTGAAGCCTAGCTAGGACCCTGGACCAGCCTTTCAGCCCTTCTAAGGGCTAAGGCTCGGCATACCCAGTGGTCAGGACCCACCGGGCCAGCGGTGGGTCAGATAGCCTCCCTTAGGTCCTAGCCGGAGGACTAGGATAGCGGTAGACGTGAGTCCCGCCAAGTCCGGAGGTTGTACCTCCTTACGTATCAAGGAGGTTAGCGGTAGACGTGTGAGTCCCGCCAAGTCCGGAGGCTGTACCTCCCTAGGGTATCGGGTGAGGGGACTGAATATCCCTGTGTGTGTTAAGCGATGTATAAGGAAATAATACAATAAACAGAGTGTGCCTCCTAAAGAAGTCTGCTCGTCCTTACAACACTACAAAGGTATGGGCAAGGGTGGGGGATGGGTTATGGAAAAAGTGAAGGCAGGAGCAGATTGGGGGTTAATGGGAGGTATCAAGGGAGGGGTGAGCGTGGCGTGCGGGGAGAGGAGTGAAGTGAGTGAGGACAATGATGGCAGTGGCAAGGGGAAGAATTTGTCAAAATTTGTGTTCATGCTTGGGCTACGCAAGACCGAGTGTTTACGTGAGAATGGAGTTACATTGTACTGTATGCACAGTTAATAAGTGAGGATTCTTATAGACAAAGATCTGCCGTATAGCCTTAACAGACTGCTGGGGAAAGTGCCGTTAGGGAGCACCTATGAAAGCCGGCATGGCATATGATGGAGTGGGTGGCCAGTATCACGCCCGGCTGCTTTTGTCTCCCGAGTAGCGATGTTTTACACACTGCACCTGGTGCTCAATTGAAACTGAGTTGATATCACGCACAATTATGCACACACAATTTGTGAAGTAGTGAATGCAAGGTGTGCCAGTCTTACACTAGATGTTTACATCTGTGCAGTCCACGCTGAAGCCTCTTCATTTCCTCGGTGCCGATGCCACAGCCGAACAGGTTGAGTGTCTCCACAGGTTCTTCTCGCTGCAGCAGGATCCAGGAGATGGCAGCGCAGTCTGGCAGGGACAGCCTTGTGAATGACAGGTCTATCTCAGTCATGGACCGAGTGACATCACTCAGGGACTTGCGGTCGTGCAGCTCGTGCACGCAGTGCAGGAGACTGTTGAGCCTGTGTTTGTCAACCATCCGATTCTTCATGCTGCGATTGAGCCACTCGATTATTTCCTTTTGATAATCTGCAGATGGAGGATCCAAGATACCCTCAAAGAACTTCCATGGAGTGCTTGATGCCAGTCCACAAAAAAACCTCTGAAACACATCAAACCTCCCATCTTTGCTGTCCTTAATAGCCTTGATGACGTCATTCACTGGCCATGTTGAATGTGACAGATGCACAGCTATCGCTGCAAAGAATTCCTGCATTGTCAAGTGTGAAAATGAATAACAACTCCCTTGTTTAATGCCCTCACATGTGAACACTTTGTTGATGAATGTACTTCCTAGTTCAGAAGAACTAACAACAAACTCTTCTAGATCTTTTTGGCTGAACATCTGGATGTTTTGCTGAACCCCCTTCAGAGCCATATTGCCAAGAGACGATACAATTTCCTTGGCACAGCAGCTGCCACGTCCATGGTGTACTATGAGCCCAAACACGTATTGTGTGAAGAGGTCGGTCATTGATTTGAGGATAATCTCAGAATGTTCAGACTTTTGTAAATGTTCCTTCAGTGTAATGGCTGCTATATGGCAGAATGAAGGGTTCTGGGACAATGTATTCACTGTTTCATTTTCCTGCAGGAGCTTGAGTGCCCTTTCTGCTAGACTCCTATCTTGGTAAAATTTGTTAAAAAATGCTATTTTATCTTTGTTGGAAAACCCAGTGATTTCAACAGCTCGATCAACATTCACTTGACTCAGTTGTTCCATGGCAATGGGTCTGGTCGTTATCAAGACCGAGGCCTTGGGCAAGAGATTTCCATTCACTAGGGCAGCAATGATGGCTTCTACTGTTGCCGTCTTACGTGGATCAGTGCACGCATTGGCATAGTCAAGGCGCTTTCCAAACTCGTCCAACCCGTCCATAACAAAATGGGTTCTCTCTTGGTTTGCGAAAACCTCATCCGCTTTGTTTCCCAAACATGAGTGCAGCTTAGAAAACAGCTCTGCCAGTGACACCTCTCCAATATCATTTATCTCCCTGAACCTTATGAGCACGATGTGCTCAAAGCGTCGTGCAAATACTTTCTCACCTGACAGCAAGCTGTGCACAATGAATTTGCTCAACATGGTTTTACCGCTGCCTGGAGTCCCCACTACAATAACCAGTCGGGGGTGTGTTTTTTTTCCAATGTGATCAAAGAGCTTCTTGTAAGTAATCCCTTCTCTCTGTGCTCTCTTCATCAGCTCCTCGTGCTGCTTGCCTCTCGCTAGTAACTCGTGCTCCTTGGTTTCTTGATGGCGGTAGTAGGGAACCAGAATTGGCTTCACCATCCTCTCCAGCAAAAACACTGCAGGTTCTCCAGGTCGTGCGTCGTAGTTTCGTGTTAATGATGTCAGCTTCAGCAATAATTCTCTGAAATCATCACCAGGCTTATCTAAATGACACAAATAATTTAACGAGCAGATCAGTTTCACTTACAATAAAAAACATATTCCTATAGCAGACAAATATGTTTAAAATAAACTATGTAAAAAAAGCGTAGCGAATTCATTCACCATGGATAATGCAGCAACATCATGTACATCATGAATTATTGTGTGGAAGTTTTCACGATGTGTATTCTCCAAATGCAATTTTTATAAACACTGTACCTTTTGTAAAAAAATATGTTTTATCATAACAAAAATGCTACCACCATGTGTCTTGTTTGTTTTGCCTGTGAAAAAGATAGTACCACATTTAGCATTACCGTGTACATCAGCATCATCACAACCTAATTCAATTTGGGTGCAAATTTCAATCCTGCCTTGTCCTACAATTATTGATTTTTGTTGTTTAGGATGTTGAATTTTACTTTTTATATTTCACTGGTATTGGTGCTGTTTCCTCTCCCATCTCAAGCTGGCCTACATCACGTAGCACGGGGGCTACACTGTGGTGGAGTGCAGTACACCAGGCACGGTCCTCTGCAGGCAGAGAAGATGCAGTGATTGCACACTGGCGGAGCCAGTTGGGGGGGGGAGTGGGGTGGCACGTGCCTTCCCAATGATCCGATCGAAATCCGATCGAAATCCTTAATTTAGATCGATAAATCGGCATTTTGCGACTGCCACTGCCACTGTGTAGCATATTACTGTGCCAGAGACTCTATGAGATGATAGGACAATAGTCTGAGTCCATAATTGGCAATAAGTAACGGCAAAGCAGTTATAAGTGATTCACATAAGTGTACGCAGTTGCGTATACAGTGCACGACTTCCCTGAAGGGACACCTTCAGCGAGCGCGATGCCGATCACACACGGTTCGAATTCGACCCTCGATCGTTGGCTGCGCCATCGCCGCACACGCGTCGAATAAAAAGCAAGGGACAAGTCTTTACGTAATAACAACTCCTATATAAAAAAAAATTATTGCTGGAGGAGTTACCCCCCTACCTGAAAATCCTGGCTCCGCCATTGTGCTTGCACCTCCACAATAACAGCCACATAAATCACAGAACTCGTAGCATCCCACGTGATGCATCGTAGGTTCACTTGAACTTCAACTAACCTGGCTACTGCATCATCAGCAAGCACTGTGGCATCCCCTAGATTGGGGAGAGTGGAGATTTCCCTAATGACAGATTTGCTCGACATCTTTCATCACAGCTTTTCAAGTTAACATCTAACTCGATGGCTCATAACTTTGATGGTGTTATTTTAATCTCTCCGTAATCTCTCCATAATAAAATACTTGGAGTCATGAGTTAGAGTGGACTTTTTACAAACGATGAGGGCTTAAATATTGACATTTTATTTGGAGGAAGTTTTAACCAATTCAAGTCAGGGTGTAAGAGGAAAGTAGGTTCCGTTATATGAGTCAATGGCAATATAAGGCTGGGTGTCATTAGAAATAGCAGTGATAGTCGATAATAAAAACGTATTTTTTTCTCAAAACGAGGAGATTGTACTGAGAAGAAAAGATGGCACAGGACTGCGCCATGTGGAACACCACAGAATTAGGGCTTCTGAACAGAAGACAGTGCTTGCATGGAAAAATATTAATCAATTCCAGGGGTTGAAGCAGAACCAGGAAATAAGTTTGTCAGACAACACTTGCATCGCCATGAAGATTCAAGAGGATGGAGTGGTGTCAAAAGCAGCCCAAAGGTCAAGAACTAGAAGCAGCATCCATAGTTTAACAGAAATGGTCATTTGCCCTGCATAGGGGAACAGTTTCAATGACATGGCCTTGGTGGAATCCAGATTGTACCAAGTCATGGAGACCATGGCAGCAGATGGGTTTGCTGCCATTGCCAAACATCTTGGGCTTGACACTTGAAAGAGAGCTTCATAGGTCATTACATTATTACAGCTTAAATACCATGTCTGTGTCTGAAGAGGAGGTAGAAAATCACCATGTTTACGTCTTTTCCAAGGAAAGGGAGGTGTGGGATATGACGAATTAATGAATGTTGGGGTCCAGTGTGGATGTAAGTTTTTGATATTTACACACATTTTCATTATCCATCTATCCTTTCCTCCCAATTGCTGATAAATTGTAGTTTCCCTGCTATGGAATGGAATAGAAATGTCCTCCTTCTGAGAGGAATGTTGTCATGCAAGGGTGGTGCAGTTTGCTAATATTAAATGACAATCTCAGTTCAAAGCAATTCCTTCACCTAAACTTGCCAGAGACATGTGAATGGCTTTAGCATCACTCACGAGAAGCTGCTCCAGGGATGGCTTTACCCGCAGTTCTGCTCAGATCGACACCGATCACGTTGAGCTGCTGCTCATGCTGTGAGATCCACTGATCCAAGAGAGGGATCTCGGATCTCAGTCGCACGAGCACATCTTCAAGAAATATCATGCAGACTTGTTCTCCCTTTATGAGCACCAGGTTAACCAGACGCCATGTTTGCACAACGGGGTCATTCTCGCTGTTAAGAGACGCGTATTCACTGTCCAGGACTATCCCTGTTTGATAGGAATGGTCAAGCACTTCTGAAGACTTCGCCTGGAGGTATTTCTGCAGATTCACTTTGTTGGTTTTAATGATCTCATATGCAGGATCTTTTGATGCCATCACGACAAATGCATCGAGTCACCTGAAGAAAATGAAAACAAACCACGTGTCACCTGTAAGCATAATCGTGTAATTTTAGCCAGGTACGGGAAAGAATAATAATTATTAAAATAAAATGCTGCTACTAAATTCTGAGAGGTATCGGTTAGATACAATTATGACTTTAGGTATTTGATTGTGAATACATTGAGCTATGTAAATTGTAATGTAAGCTTAAAATTGTTATTTTAATTTATGGAAATACGTTAAATAGTATCGAAACACCTTAGGGATCTCAAAACACTCTTCAGCGCAAGCATATGAAGATTCATATGAACACAACACTACGACAAAAAAAATGTCAACCTAATACAAAACACCACACAAGTCTAGCAGATTAAGCAGCTATGTGACACCACGTGCTCACTGCCTCGACCACCGTAATACCACGCAGACGGCGAATTGCGCTGTAATGTGCAGTGATCGGGAAAGCGTCACCTCTCGTTGAGTGACGATTATGATGGAGGTGGAACGGCAGAGGGTGGGAGCCAGGTTTGATCTTGGGTGGTCCCTATGTAGTGGGCACTCCCATGTTCTCAATGTATGGGTAGAGGGCGCTCTGAGGTTGTCTAGCAGTGGTATGATGTCACATACGCTTCATGGATATTAGTGAACGGGATCTTTTGTGTGGTGAAGCCAAAACTTAAAGTACACACATGAGGCAGCGTCAATGTTACTGTGATGTTCATTATGTTAAATAAATCACTTATACAGGACAGCAGTGGTCCAGGAGTCTGTGCAGCCACTTTCCTATGCCTTTGAATCTCCACCTACATTGTCTCTTAGGAATCCTTCAAAATGAGTGGCACGTTACATCATCATCAGCAGCCATTGTCTCTACTGCTGGATGAACGCCTCCCAATATTTGTTTTACATAAGAAATTAATGAAAAAAAATCCTTAATTTAACATTTTTTATTAGTATCAATCATAATGAAGCATCTCCGTAACAGCATCTGGTCAGTGAGCATGCACCACGTGCATTTACAACAGCACGCAGAGCATGAGACTATAACGAGTTTTGTACATCATGTTCGTAAACCCAAGTGACCCATTCTTTAGTTTGAGATATTCATACATATAACTCGTGTATTGAGCTGTGTGTATTGCACCGCTCCAAACTAAATATCAATACTGTACATATACATGCCGATCTCACTTAATGAGCGTTCTTTCTACGAGAATGCCCCATAACAAGCAATTTGAACGTAAACCAATTTTTTTGCAAAATTAACAAATATTTGCGTAACGAGCGGAGACGGCTTGATCAAATAGTATTCTTTGGCAGCAGGGAGCACACGGTGGCCTGCAGTTGTTTGCATCGCGCGCTTTCAGATGCGCTTCTGCTGCCGTCTGAAATTATCTTCCTTCTGATATTAGGAAGCCACTGGGGCGATTCACTTTATTGAAAACTCATTTCTTTATAAGTGCTTTTTGCGTTTAGTTTATTGCCCTTCCTCCTCACCTCACATTCAATAACGTATTGCACGTATGATTTGCTGAGCAGTCAAATAATACGAGGAGACAATGCAATGGGGGGGGGGAGGGGGAGGCCGTGGGCTCTGTGCTTTTTCTCTCATACAGCACACATCTCCACGAGAATTATGAAAAAATGACACCTGGCAAAAGAACATCCATTGATGTTTATGCCCAAGTTGCAACAACTCCCTTGGCTTTACTCTTGTGCAGCTCCACGCTACACACAGCAGACTCACGCTCCGAGCTACAGAGGATCAACAGTCGAGCGTCTTCTACGCCTACAGCACGAGCTCCAACACAAACATGCCCCATGGAGCTCCACAGACTGGTGGGTCAAGTGCTGTTATTGAGCCCCTTTAAAGGCTGGCACGCAAAGTGGGGTAGAAATGGAGAGCACCACACCTGGCCACCTTTGTCTCATAGGTTCAGCTGATTACCTATTGTACCAGGCACTCATTTAATGCAGACTCAACCTAGAGGACCCAAAATCAGTATAGATATCACATGATATTGATAACTGTGACTGAGTTTGTTGTGCAGCATGGCTCGCCACAAACACACACATAGGCGATGTACACAAACATACAAGATACAAATAAGAAAAATCTCCAAAAAAGTTTTTGACAGATTATTGGGATTAGTTCTGCAAGCGAGCACCTAAGAATGCCGGTATGGCACATGAAAGTAGTGGATACATACACAATAACAGCCATTCGACACTAAAAATTGGTGACGTCAAAAATGTGCTTGTGCCAGGCTAAGTGCACATTGAGGTCATGTGGACTGTCGAAGGCTTATGGGCAGGTTACAGGATAGATAAAGGTGCCATGGGTTGAGTGACAGGCATGACTGGCAGATCTACCACCTGTACTCCCTACTGTTCCAACTTGCTGCATTTTATTCGTCCTGTACTCCGCTCGTTGTAGTGAGCATCACTTCTCCGCCCTCCGTTATTGCTGGAGGCGGACATCCTTCACAAAACTCCTCCAGAGAGGCTGATCTTGACAGCACTGGTACGAGCTGTCGGCAAGCCCAAGCAGCTCCACATCCTTATGTTACACAGCAGTCAAACTCTTGCCTATAGCGTTTAGCCCCTTATATCTGGACAAACAGAAGCTGCTTGTGTACGCAGTGACTGGGCATTTTGGCTACACGACCCAGCCAGTGCTGCCTCACCTGCCTTAGTATCTCATTGATGGGAATTTGTCCAGATCTTTCAAGGATCTAAGCTGCTCACATGATCTAGTTTGTTAAACCCATGGTGGATCGTAGACAACTTGAACATGCAAAACCAATGTAGATGTTCCTTTAAAAGGGATCCACATTTCTCAAATGTAGAGAAGGGAGGGGGTATCTGGCTGAGAAGACCCAGAGATGTATGTGGAGCGACAGGCCATGCAGCATTCACAGTACGTTACGCAATTGAGATAATTATGTTCAACCGATTCGGAGCATTACCTCTGCTGCCAAACTAGAGCTGGTCATATGCACCTTTTTCCAGGTATGGAAAATTGTTCTGCCCTGTCCAAAACTGCCCCACCACTCATGGGGAGTGGAGGGACGGGAGAATACAATGACACAGAATACCCAGGCAGGTGCTTTGTTTTTTTGTGGGGATGAACGTAAACCCCATTTCTTAGTAGTATGCTCGAAGTTCAACGAAAGCTTATAAAGTTTATACTGGATATAATTTTGATGGTGGGGATGGTTGTAATGTGGAGGTGGGCAGTGGTAATGCACGCTACTGTCTAATGAGGAACCGACAGTTTGGGACCAATTTCAAGATTATGTAAACAACGCCGCCAAGACCTGCTCAAGAACCCGTTGCAATATTCAGAAGGGATGGATTAGTGATTAAACTTGGTGTTTAATTGAAAAAAATTACGTAAAAACTGCTACTAGGGCCCATAGAGGACTACAAGGACCTAGGACGGCAATGCAAAACTCAGATCTGGCATGACCAGAGGTGGCCTGATGAAAAAACTGCAGCAGTTGAATAATAAGTCTTAAAAGAGTCAAATCAAGGATTACTTTGCAAACTTAAGTCAGCTCAGGGGAGCCTACTTTAATGTTCCATGTGCAATTACAAATGCCAGTGGCAAACTCCTCATCAGTAGCATGCTAGAAGTAATTATGCTCCCAAATGCAGAATCGCTCTTCGTCATATCCCTTTGAAGAGCTCATGCAAGCCACAGCAACCAAAGACCCTACACCTTCTGCATTGAGCCATTTGAGTATAAAGTGAGAGGTACCCTAAGAAAAATGAAAGAAATCACTAGTATCCAACACTTGCAATATCAGAGCAGAAATGCTGACACCCAGAGGCTCAACTATCATCACATGGGTGAGTAAGATCTTTTAACACATGTGGAGGGCAGGCTTGAAACCAGCTTTCAATGATGCAGCCTTTTTGGTTGAACTGCAGGCAGTCTTACTCGTGCCGTGTCAGTCATAGAAGTTGATGGACCATACTTATATTTGCCTCAAGCAAGTCTTGACGAACAAAGTGGGGTATAATCTGCTGAGTAGTGTAGTGAAGGCTGTGAAATGAGAAATAATCAATTAGAGTGCCTTTAAAAAGAGCCTCTGTCAAGGTGATGTGCACATCAGTGAGATACAATCATCATTGGGAACAAGAAGGTGTACATTCAGCCTACATTTCTAAAGAGAGAACATACAGTGATGATCACAGGATAAATCTGTGGATGGTAAGTGACAGGCCCAAATAATTGCATCAAAAGAAAAGGGAATGAGTGACCTCCGAATGAGTAAAGGTTGATTAGAAGTTCCAACAGGAAGCCTTGGTTGCTGGGCAGAGAATGAGTGAAGGGGAGTAAAGCGAGATGGTAGGGACGATATAGGAGAACATTGGGAGGGGAATGAGATGATGGGAGAGGCAAGCAGGAGCGTGTCCATGGTGGAACTTGAAGACAGCAAAGGGGATATTGTGCTTGATGCAGAAATTAAGCGGATACCAGTGGAGGGATCAAACACGATCACAGCTTTACCAATTAAAAACCAGGCAACAGAAACAAAATGAGTACAGCATTACCAAAGACAAGACTGTCACACTATATAAAGTCCCACTCATTTCATGGATCGTTATTAAACAAAGGTGTCGCTTTTATCGACATTGTGAACTTGGGATTTTACGGGACAATGAGTCCCATAGGCAACACCACGGGCTGAAGGGCACAGTGGGGGCTATCGCTCCCTCTACTGACTGTGCGCGAGTGACAGACTTCAGCCTCTATTGACGATTTCTGTGAAGAGGGAGGTGGAAGCCAATAGAGTTAATTTCAACAACAAACACCGTAACATTTAAATAGACAATGTTTCTGTTAAAATACGATTTACAGTACGTTACCATTTTTACACACTTCAAAGTACTATACTCATATTATAAGCAGCGTTGCTGCATTGATTGATGCTGTCACTGATGGAGATAGTAAAAAAATCATCAGGCAAGATGAGACGTGCATTCTAATCCGTGTTCCAAATGTCC